CGCCCGGCGGGGGGCTGGCGCCGGGGCCCGAGCTGTGCTGCTCCGTGGAGCGGGCGGAGGAGATCATGGGCACGGAGGCCACGGGCTTCGGCGGCGGGGAGCACCTGGGGGACTTCCCCTGCATCCCGGTGGACCACGCGGTGGCCGTGGAGTGCGACGAGCAGGTCCTGGGCGAGCTGGACGCCGCCGGCTTCGAGGAGTTCTCCCGGCGCATCTACGCGCTAAACGAGAACATGTCCAGCTTCCGCCGGCCGCGCAAAAACTCGGACAAGTGAGCACCAGGGCCGGGGAGCTGGGTCTGGCCCGTCTGCACGGGGAGAAGAGAGGAGAGCGGGGCAAAAAGCAAATAAAGAGATGAAAAGGGGGGGAATGATAACCCGTTTGCACTTCTCAGAGCGATTCTATTGTCCTTTGAATAGAAATTCCGGTATAAAATTATGGGTAAAATAATTCATTGGCCTTGTTGCGGGGTGCGTCGTAGGAACCGCAGGAGAGTTGAGTGCTTGACAACTGACTCTTCGCAGCGCTAGGCTTTTAGCACGTCTGGGCACCGAACAGCTTGTAGCAATCTGGAAAAAGATCCTAGGGGAATTACATAGAAGGTTCTGACTTCAGTTCCCCTCCCCTCGCAGAACTGTTCCTCTGCCAGGAAACCTGCTCTCCACTAAGCCTGCTGGGAGAAGGTGGGCAAGTCCGTTTGATTCATCGAACCTCGGCCCACCAGCGCTGAGGCGTCGAACGCGCCGAGGTTTCAGGGCCCGGCGGGCCGCTTGCCCAAGATGTTACACGCGCGCTTGGCAAGAGCCGGAGCTGGCGCGGTCCGCTGCGAAATCCCCTCGGCCAGCGATTGCCCGGTCCCCCGCGGTGACCCCCCCCGCACGAAAGCTGTTCCCCTTCCTCCCCCAGTCTGCGTTGAGCGGTTGTACAGAGAAGGAAAAAAGAGATAAATAAAACGGAAGCGAAACGGCACATGACATCATTGTATTCTGTTTACCGCATCAGTATGATGGTTTCTTTTTTTTTTTTACCTTTATTTCCATCAATAGAATATATAATGCTGTGGAAATAAATACAATACTTAACCTGATGAAATATGACCAAAAAACCTATATACTGTATGTATACTGTGAACAACTAGCTTTGAGTATCTCAAGCCGACCAGTTATAGTGTTATATCATAATCACAGTTAATCAGCCAGGTGTGGTTTTCCATTTCGTTTTATATTTTATTGGAAATTTCTTCTTTTCAGGGTCAGTTATCTTTCCTTTGTTTAACTCCAGGCCCCTGTTCCTGCTTGCTGTTCGTCAGAAAGCTCGTGGGATCTCTGGTGATTAGACGGGCATGTATGGTTAAATGAGATTAGGCGTGTGGTTAGTTTAACTGTGGGGGGCTGAATTGTGCTACTGTAAAACATATTTCCACCCTGTCAGAAGTCCTTCATTTTTTACTAGGTGCATAGGGCTGTTTTTTTTTTAAGGCAAATTAATTTTTTTTTTCCTAAACTAAAACCGACCATGAAGACTTAAACCAGTCAGATGCCTTCTGCTTATTTACTGTATCTGCGCTGTCAAGTATAATTTCTTGTCATTGCATAGCTTATGATTGAAGTCCACCATGCATTAAGTTGCTTTAAAATGTTTCAAAAGGACCGTGATTTCCACAGATTAATGCAGATGAAAGTTGACGTACCTCCTTGCTTGCTAATCTATGTATTAACATATACAATATGGGTAGCCAAAAGCAAATACCCTGCACATCCAGTGTAAACTGCATTTAGTGGTGTACAACTACTGGCATACGACGTTTTTCATTATGTACTGTGGTTGAATGACTGTTGAAATGTAATGTATTTAAAACCAAGATAAAAAGAATTTACATAAAGCGTGACGTTAAGTGTACAATGTTGTCTGAACCTTCCAGGGTTGACTATGTATATATGTATAATTTCCTATGCAGGGTTTTTATTATTAAAATCCACAGTTAAATTGCATGACATTTTCTAACTTATATAGCCTTTTTTCTAAGGTTAATAGTTATTGGGATGTATAAAGCAGAGAATAACCTGCTTATTCTAAGCAATAAGACTGTTATCTGGTAATAACCGTTGGGTTTAAAAAAATTAAGTGATTCCTTCGAGCTGGCCAGCAAATCATCCAGGTTCCTCTTTGCTTAAGAACATACACCATTCTTCAAAAAAAAGTCCTGTTGGGAGCTCTTTACCTACTGTACATGCAAAAGTTATATCACCTGGAAACATAAAGAAAAGAAGTTTCCTTTTACAAAATTTCGATTGATCAATTTTTTTCCAAACAAAAAATCGCATCCTAACCTGTTCTGTCACGAATTTAGCGGGACATGAGGAGAAGCATTTAAAAATGATGGGCACTATCTGAGCTGCTGTTCTGTGTGGGGTTAGACGGTCAGTATTTCACTAGCTGTCACTACTGTGCAGGGGGTTAAGTACATTGGAATTGCTGTGGAATGCATATAGTGAATCTCAGGTGTAAGAATCGTTTGCTTAAATAATTTGTTAATGCAGAGTCTCCAGTTTGTAGTTTTGACTCATGAATGCACACCATTGTTGATTCAGATGGTGAGTTTTTAATGCATTCTTTTTTTCCTACACTTGGGAGAACACATCCCAACTGTACTTTCACCATTGCTGTGTTGGATAAAAGCATTGTGTCTGTTAAGCAATGAGTCATACCAACTTGTGCAGAAAAAATACCGGATGATTACAGACACCATTATTAGAAGTGATTTTTGGAACAGCCCATCTAAAAATCTCGTCTTTTTTTTGCTTAATTAAGTGTGAAAGCTGGTCATTGCCGTCCAGTGGATTGTGTTGCCTAAGCAACAACATGGAGAAAATGGGGCAAGGTCTAGATTTATGTGTTTTGGCTGCTCATCTTCAAGGAAATGGTGGTTCTCAAATTTTGTTTAATCATAACAGATTAAGGCCACCGTGATTTTCGTCACACCTCTCAACAATATTTAAACTGCTTGGAACGTGTCTAAATAAGCCAGACAGTGATGTGTGGGCCTCTTACTCCTGCACTTTCACCATCATGTGGAAGAAGTTAAATCCTGCACATGCCTTTCTTAACATAGCCTGGTTTACCAATTTTCTTGTTTTCCACCATTGAGATTATTGGCCCTGACTATATTAAACAGCATTGTAACCGTTGCATGGAAGAGAACACACCAGAATGCATATACAATGAACTGTTTGGTTCGTCTGCAAGATAGGTTAAAGCGCTTAGTATAACTTGTGCAGGGTGTTCTGTGCATGTCCATATGCAAAGGGTGTACCAGTCTCTGTTGCAGAGGTAACGGAAGTCAGTTGTCCCTCAGCTTGGACATTTGTGTTGTATTTCAATGAAGTCTGCATCAAGAAGAGTCTAACCGGAATTACGTACTGTATATAAACAAATATCCGTGTGTGAGACGTTTTCCAGCTGTGTTTCAGAAGACCTTGGAGACAGGCATTATGGAGTTAAAAGAGCAACACACTGTATCCAATTAGTCGTGTCGTTACCATGTAATATGTAGTTACTGTAACAGTAACTGAAGGTGACTGTTAATGGCTGTAGTGAACGAAATAAGCTCAACTTTTCTTCATAATAGATTAACTGAATGGATCTGCATGATCTGAAATCCACGTTTTGTTTGGTGAATCTCGCTAAATCTTTAAAGCACCCGTGTGGATTTGGTTAAAACAGCAGTGCAGTGCCAGAGCATATTATGTTAATCCTGGAGTTGCAGCCTGGGTCTCGGTTACCCAGCTGAAGTATTAATTAACTTAATAATAGAAGTAATAGGAACCATTCGACTGTTTTCAGCTCTTAAATTTGTTTGACGTTTCCTTTTATAACGATTTCATTTTCTAAAGACTGTGAAATAACATCCCAGTTGCACATGTTCCCGTCAGGGCGCTCGTTAGTTCAGCTCAGGCTTTGATCGGAGAGTGGGGGTGGGCCGGAATGGAAACCAGTAGGTGTGTGGTCCTCCAGGGTGAGGAGGGGAGCTCCTGTGGCGCAGGCGCACGCGGCCGAGCGAGAGGTGACGCGACGGGGATAGCCGGAAGGGCCAGCTGCCTGGGCGCTGGAAGAGGCACGGAGAGCCCTCACGGGGAGATCTCTCTCCGTGACGCCCTGCTCGGTGTTCGCCCAGAGGGAAGCCAGCAGGCCTCCGTTCCTGTGGAGTCCCGAGCTTGGATGAGGGAAGAAAAGTAGCACACGCTGGAAGATACGGGGAGCCTGGGCCAATACAAATGCTGTGTGCTTGCATCCTAAAGGACGGTAAAGGTTTATAATAATAATAATGTTTCTTGATTAGCCCTATACAATTTCTTGCATTAGGAATTCGTCTTTTCACATACCCCAGCTTTTCTCCAAGGAGACACAGACACACAGACGGGGAGAGAAGCTGGGGGTCAGAGCGCAGGGTCTGCCATTGTACGGCGCCCCTGGAGCAGTTGGGGTTAAGGGCCTTGCTCAGGGGCCCAATGGAGTAGGATTCCTCTGCCGGCCGCGGGATTTGAACCGGCAACCTTCCAGTCACAGACGCAGATCCTTAGCCACAGAGCTTAAAGCAACTCAGTACAGAACATTATGTGGCCTTTGGTTGCTCTGGTTTGTAACGCTGTGTAATCTATGGAGAAGACAGTCTATCATTAAAGTGCGATATATCAGGGCTTGCCGATTGTGGTCTTTTGGCCTTAGTGCCTGCTGGTCTTCATTGCCTTAGTTACTTAATTAACCTCCTAATTAACTCCATTCAGTTCCATTTCCAATTCCAAGTCTTTGGCTTTCATCCTGTTAGGAGATTCTAGCTGATACAATGTATGAGTTGCTGTATGTTACGAGACGTTTACAGGCCAATTCAAATCTCTTAACGTTTCAAAACGCAAATGTAAACTGGCGGCTGGAATGGCTCTCTGCCAGCACCCAGTGGCCTTTGGAAACCTGCAACCACACCTACTGTAGGAAAGTTGATTCAGAGGTAGTGACTATGCTTGTGCTAATTATTTCTTCACTGATTTGAAGTAGATAGATAAGACTTTATTGATCCCAAAGGGAATTTGAGGTGTTGCAGCAGTCCAAGACAAGCAAAAACAGACATCAGAATAGACGAAAAATTAGGTACAGCATAATCGCTACAAGAACTGCATTTATTGAAATCCTTTATTTTAAAAAACCTAATAGCTGCCTATATCCAAATTGTCATGCAATAGCTGCAGGACGTGAGAGTCTCTGAAAGGCCCTTTGAATGCTTCTCGCAGAGCAGAAGTGCCCATCAGTTGTCTTGGAGCACGATCTAACAGTTCTGCTATGGTCTGCTGTTATTTATCAGACCTTTTCATCGCAGAGACTGATGTCTTTTAAGATCCGGGATGCAATGTGCCCGACCAATGTTGAAGCAATTTCAAAGCTGGACCGTAGGAAAATAAAATCCATCTTCGGAGCTACATGTGCAGCATGTCACACCACACTCCTCAAAGTTTCTTTCTGAAGAGCACGAAACCCAAAACTTAGCGGGATGAAAAGTTTGCATCGGTGTCCTCACTGCTCTGATGTTTGTCACAGTTGCTTTACACGTTTTTCCTCGGCCTCAAAGAGAGCTGCTTTAAGTTCTGACCGATGGTAACACCGACTTTTTTCTACCCTGTTAGTAACAAAAAAATGATTGCAATAAATCCTTTTTTGTTTTCAGGTAAGAATGCAAAAATTCTACCTTCAGTGAAAAGAATAGCACACATAATCTAAACCAGTGATACCTGGTGGGATATGAGCCCAAGCTTATAGAAAGCCAGCATGTGATCGACAGCCCTGGTTTCAATACAGAAGAGCACAGGGCGTGCCAGAGAGAGATCACACGTGCCAGACACAGTATCATACTGATGAGCTGAGGCTTCTGCTGCTGCTGCTACTAATCATTTGTCAGCACTTGTCAAAAATCTCAGGACACTGTGTGATCGGACACACATAATAATTGTTACTGTATATGATATAATGCATATATCTCCTGCATTTCAGTGATGACAGCACAAATTTTGAATTGCATCTCTGGAATGTAATTGTAAGTGTAAATTGGAAGTTTGACATGGTGTTTTGTACATATCCCCAAGAAACGGAGGGGGGGAATGACAGGAATTGCTAAATACTGTGTTCTACAATATCTCATTTTCTTTCTCATTGCTGCTTCAGTATCTGCGTGACAAAGGTGAGCCTTTGATATTGCACCTAGTGAGAGCTTTCTAGCAAACCACTCCATACACTTTGTTCTCGGCTGCATGTCCTCAACTCCTGAAGCGCTTATCAAAAAAGAAACATTATCTGTTAAGGGAAGTCAAGGAATCATCTTTATGGCTGCCTGCTTACACCTATTCCCTGTCTTCCACGGCTGCCCAGAGTCTCCATAAAGAGATTGTACTCATCACCAAAGGTGCTGCTTGTAACCTTTTTGCAGGAGTTTATTACTGCTGGTTTTACTATTAATCTGTAGTGTCTCCATTTCCAAGGCTACACATGCAATTCTGCGGGGCGGGGGGGGGTTGGGGGCACTTCTCTCTTCTTGAAAGTGTTCTCATTTTCCATGGGATGAGCCAACAAGATAGGAAACAAATATTTCTTCAGGGTCACTCGAATATCTACCAAACCACACTTTCCATTCATGGTCAACTTTTAATAGTCTTCTAGGATCTATCATAATATAAGGATATATTAGCCTTATAGGACTGTAGACGTCTTCTGTGTGTATAAAACCAAAGGCATATGTTACCTGTATTTAAGCAGAAATGATACTATTTCAGAGCGATAAATACACAATTGTGCAGAAATAGCATTGTTGCATGCAGGTGTTTCATGCATAGTTGTAATGCTGTTTGTAGATATGATTACTAGATTTTGGTACAGAAGCTATTTTGCGTGTCATTATTTTGGGCATTCAATATTCCAGTGAGTTATTAAAAGGATTTCCTCCATCGCT